AGAGGGATGCACTCACCACTCTTAGCAAGGACAAAAACATCATCATTCTCCCAGCAGACAAAGGAAGGTGCACAGTGATTTTGAACCAGAAAGACTATCATGAGAAAGTTATGACACTCCTTAGTGACTTAACCACTTATGAACCTCTGAAAAGAGATCCAGGAAGTGGTTACAAGAAGAAGTTAATAGATTGCCTGAAAATTTTGGAGCAGGACAAGGCTATTGACCGCTTTCTGTACCACAGACTGTACCCAGGGGAGGCCACACCTAGTCTGTATGGTTTACCTAAAATCCACAAACAAGGTGTACCTTTAAGACCTATTGTTAGCATGATTAACTCTGTCACTTACAATGTTTCCAAGTATCTGGCGTCTGTACTCATCCCTTTAGTTGGCAGCTCAGAACACCACATACAGAACACCATGGACTTTGTGGATAAGGTGAGGGATGTCATCATGGAGACTGATGAAACAATGGTCTCTTTTGATGTCACATCACTCTTTACGTGCATTCCTGTTGATGATGCAGTAGAGGTGGTCAGTTTAAGATTAAAATCAGACACCACTCTGAGCAGCAGGACCACGCTTTCCACAGAACAACTGGGTCAACTCTTGAAACTGTGCCTACAGTCAACCTACTTCACATATGGGGAACAATATTATAGGCAGAAACATGGGTGTGCTATGGGGTCTCCAGTTTCTCCTATTGTTGCCAACCTGTACATGGAGGAGGTAGAAAAGAGAGCCTTGACGTCCTTTTCAGGGACACCACCAAGTCATTGGTTCAGGTATGTTGATGACACCTGGGTTAAAATTAAATCTCAGGAAGTCCAACATTTTACTGACCACATCAACTCTGTGGATAAATACATCAAGTTCACACGAGAAGATGTAAAAAATGACAAGTTGGCTTTCTTGGACTGTGAGGTCTCAGTCTTTGATAGAGGACTTTTGCAAACCGAGGTGTACCGCAAACCCACCCACACAGACCAGTATTTGCAGTTTGACTCCCATCACCCTTTGGAGCACAAGTTAGGAGTCATCAGGACTCTGTATCACAGAGCAGACAGCATCCCCACTAGCTCGGGAGCCAGGCAGAAGGAGAAATCCTACACAAAACAGGCTCTAGAGAAATGTGGATATCCTAACTGGGCCTTCCTGAAAGCAGAGAAGAAACCCAAACAGGACTCCAGTCAGCCATCAGGTGAAAAGGAGGAACCCAGACCCAGACCAGTGGTCATTCCATATGTTGAGGGAGTATCAGAGAAACTGAGACGTTTATTTTCTAAACATAACGTCCCAGTGGCTTTTAAACCCCAAAATACATTACGGCAAAGACTGGTTCATCCCAAAGATCCAGTCCCCCGGCACAAACAGAGCAATGTTGTATATGCTGTTCAGTGTCAGGAGGGCTGTGATCAGTCTTACATCGGGGAAACTAAACAGCCACTGGCCAAAAGGATGGACCAGCACAAAAGATCAACATCATCAGGCCAGGACTCTGCGGTCTACACTCATCTCC